ATTTCTATGTGTTGAGAACACTTCAAGTCTTCGAGCTATTTTGAAATGTATAATATATTGTTGCTAATGATAGTCATCCTACTCTGCTATTGAATACTAGAGCTTATTCCTGCTATGTAACTGTGTGTTTATAGCATCAATCCCTCTTCATCCCATACCACCTTCACACACACACTCTTCCCAGCCTCTGGTATCTGTCTTTCTGTGCCTGGCTTCTTTCACTTTACATAAGGACCTTCACCTCCATCCATGTTACTGCAAATGAAAAGATTTCATTCTTTTTTTATGGCTGAATACTATTTGATTGTGTGTGTATGTGTGTGTGTGTGTGTGTGTGTGTGTAGCATTGTCTTTATCCATTCATCATTTGATGAACCTTTATGTTGATCCCATAACTTTGCTATTGTGAATAGTGCTGCAATAAACATGGGGGTGCAGGTATCCCTTTGATACACTGATTTTCTTTCCTTTCCCTTGGATAAATACCCAGTAGTGAGATTGCTGGAACTAAAACTGTTTTCAGTTTTCTGATAAATTTCCATACTGTCAAACAATTTTTAATAACACCCAGTGTGATCATTTTACGATTAAATGATGTTATAAATAGCATGTCTTACTATTCCTAAAATAACCAAATGACTACATTTGCAAGGGGGGGCTTTGAAATGTACAACAGTTGTTTTTAAGGCTAGAAAAAATAAGTCCAAACATTAACAGTGGCAAAACAGAGACTAAAGTGGAAATGGGCTTTAGAAACAGATACACCTGGGATGAGCCCAGCTGTGTTTGAATTAGCCCTTCACCAAGTGGTTCAGTTTCCTTGGCGGGGCCCGTATGATTGTGAGGGGCTGGGGGATGTCTGGAGGGGGGTGTCAGGGAAGTATGAAGCCCAGTTCCTGCCACAAGGTTCCCACCCAATGAATGGTCACTGTTATTACACAGGATGGTGGGCTTGTGGTTTGTTTTTTCCCTCTATTCTTTGGTCAGTTTTCTATAAGCATATTATTTTTAGAATCAGAAAAAAAAAAATCCACTCACAAAACAAAAGAAATGTGATGAGTGATTTACAGGGAGCAAAGGGCAGAGAGAGAAAGAAAGAGAGAGAGACAGATGCTCTTTAGAAACCGTGGCTTTGGGCCCTGTAATTTAACCTGCAGTTAAGGAGGCTGAGAGAGGCAGGTGGGTGCACCCACAGGTTTCCTAACTGAGAACTTCCTGCCTTTGAGCCCACCTACTAGTCCCCAGGTTACAGATCTCAGGGAAACCCCAGGGCTCCCACCCCCTCCACACACACACCCACTCCCAGTCAGGCAGCCTGTGAGCCTGGGTTGGGGCTAACCGGAACCCAGCCAGCGTCTCTCCCACCCTCTACCATCTGCTCTCAATGCTGTGCCCCTGGGCTGGGGCAGCCCGAGCCAGGTGACGTCAAGCCAGGAACAAGAGCCAAGGATCACAGAACCTGCTTTTGGTTACACATGTCTCTGCCCCATCTTCCTTTTTCTTTTTCCACTTTGTTTCTTTCTTTTCCTTTTTCTTTTCTTTTTTCCTTTCTTTTCTTTTCTTTCTTTTCTCTCTCCCTTCCCTTCCTTTCCCTTGCCTCCCCCACTCCCCTTCCTTCCTTTCTTTCTCTCTCTCTCTCCCTTCCTTCCTTCCTTCCTTTCTTTCTTTCTTTTTCTTTCTTTCTTTCTCTCTCTCTCTCTTTCTCTCCCTTCCTTCCTTCCTTCCTTCATTTTCCTTAGAGAAAGGGTCTCCCTCTGTTGCCCAGGCTGGAGTGCAGCAGCACAACCATGGCTCACTGTAACCTTGAACTCCTGGGCTCAAGCAATCCTCCTGCCTCAACCTCCTGAGTTGCTGGAACTACAGGTGAGAGCAAATGCACCCAGCACTTTTCTTCTTTTTTATTTTAAATATTTTTAAAGTAATTCCTTTACATAAATAGAACTTCATAAAAAGTTAGAACTTTGCCCATTAAAAGACACTATGAACAGAGTGAAAAGGCCACCGAAGAATGAGATACAGTATATGCAAATCATATACCTTATCAGGGATTAATCCAGGATATATAAAGAACTCCAAAACTCAGTAACAACAACAAAAACCCAAACAACCCAATTCAAGAATTGAGAAAAGGACTTGAATAGACATTTTTCCAAAAAAGATATACAAATGGCCAATAAGCACATTAAAATATGTTCACCCACTAATCATTAGAGAAATACAAGTCAAAACCACAATGAGATACCACTTCATACTCATTAGGGTAGCTATTATCAAAAAACAAGTAACAACTATTGGTATGGATGTGGAGAAATTGGTGCCCTTGTGCATTGCCGGTGGGAATGTCAAATGAGGCAACCTCAGTGGAAAACGGTAGGCAGTTTCTCAAAAAATTAAACAGAATAACCATAGGGTCCAGCAATTACACTTCCAAGTATAAACACAAAAGAATTAAAACGGGGACTTGAACAGAATTTTTTTCTTTTCTTTTCTTTCTTTCTTTTTTTTTTTTTTTTTTTTTTTTTTGGAGACAGAGTCTCACTCTGTTGCACAGGCTAGAGTGCAGTGGTGCGATCTTAGCTCACTACAACCTCCACCTCCCAGGTTCAAGAGATTCTCCTGCCTCAGCCTCTGGAATAGCTGGGACTACAGGTGCACTACCACCATGCCCGGCTAATTTTTGTATTTTTGATAGAGACAGGGTTTTGCCATGTTGGCCAGGCTGGTCTCGAACTCTTGGCCTCAAGTGATCTGCCCACCTCAGCCTCCCAAAGTGCTGGGATTACAGGTGTGAGCCTTGAACAGATATTTGTATAGTCATGTTCATAACAGTATTATTCACAATAGTAAAGATGGAAACAACCTAAATGTTTATTGATGAATGAATGGATAAACAAAATGTGATACAACAAACTGGGATGTTTTGTCTTTCAAAAGAATTCTGATACATGCTACAACATGGATGGACCTTGAAAACATGCTAAGTGAAATAAACCAGACGCAAAGGGACAAATATTATATGATTCCACTTACACGATGTATCTAGAATAGTAAAATTCATAGAGATAGAATAGTTGTAACCAGGGGCTGTGGGGAGGAGGGAACAGGAAGCTATTGTTTAATGAGTATGGAGTTTAAATTTGGGATGATGAAAACATTCTGGAGATGGATAGTGGTGGTGATGGCTGCACAACAGTGTGAATGTTCTTAATGTCACCGAAGTGTACATGTAAAAATGGTTAAAATGGGCTGGGCGCAGTGGCTCACACCTGTAATCCCAGCACTTTGTGAGGCAGCGATGGGTGGATCACCTGAGGTCAGGAGTTCAACACCATCCGGGCCAACATGGTGAAACTCCGTCTCTACTAAAAATATAAAAATTAACTGGGCATGGTGGCGTGTTCCTGTAGTCCCAGCTATTCGGGAGACTGAGGCAGGAGAATTGCTTGAACCCAGGAGGTGGAGGTTGCAGTGAGCCGAGATCGTGCCACTGCACTCCAGCCTGGCAACAGAGCGAGACTTCATCTCAAAAAAAAAAAAAAAAACCAGAAAAGAAAAAAAATTACCCAGTCTAACATATTTTGTTATAGCAGCCCAAATGGACTAAGACACTTAACACAACTTTCAGTATTTGGCTGTTACAGGCCATTCAGCATAAATGCCTCTTCGCACACATATAGAAATAGTTCTCTAGGAAAACTTTAATTTACTTAAGGTTACAAGTGTCCCTGAATGCATGTCAGTCAAATAGCTGCCACGTACTGGCACTTGGGGAATGCTAAATTTTTTGTGTCATAATCTCACATGCTGTTACTCCTCCAATCAACCCTGCATGGAACTGGTGTCGCTATCCGCTCAGATGAGGGAAAGGTCCAAAAAACACAACTCATTTGCCCCAGATCACAGAGCTCCTAAGAGAGCTATGGGCCTTCAGATGGGCCTGGCGTAACCAAGTAAGGCATCTAAGACTGTGACCTCCTTGAGACCAGCACTTGGATCACTTTCCTGCCATGTCCCCACATCTGACACAGGTCTGGAATGTCACGTGCAATAACAAATGCTCCTTGAATGTTGCTGAGCAAATGAAGGCAGGCATGGGTGTGTGGAACCCTCCCCCAGTTATTGGTATTTGGCCCCAGCATTTATCTACACCCCTGCCTGCTCACCCATGCCTCCCCATTGCCCCAGCCCTAAACCCCAGGAGGAAAGCCAGGGTGAGGGGCGACAGATACAAGCAGTTTCTCTACTGTCATTCTCTATGACCTGTACTCTACCCACTGAGGGTGGTCTCTCAGCCAGGTTCCCTGAGCCCCCTAGCCTGACACATTCCCCATCTCCAGACATTTGATTAGATCTCTTGGCCTACAACGTTCAGCCCATCTCATAACTCCCTGGTTCTGATCCCTCAGGGACCTCCCAGAGCTCTTTTCCTCCTTGCCTTATATACTTAGCTTATTTTCTTTTTAAAAGTCTGAATGGCCACTATCCCCTTTGATAAAGCTGCTCTGTGTGCTCAACACAGATGAGGACATGGATGCTCAGAGAGGTCATGTGTCTCGCCCTGGTCCCCAGCCAGCGAGCAACACAAGGTCACACCCAGGTCTCTGCAGCCTCCGAAGCTGACACTTTTCCTGTTATAGCCCAGGCAGCCTCCGAGATAAACCAGAAGGAGGCTCATTTGTTATCAAATGGGAGTTTCACAGGATCTAGAGTTGGGAGGAACATTCATTTCCTGATGCGAGCTCTGCCCCCTGAACTATGGAGAATACATCCAAACCCCTGCCACACGGCAGTAGGCTCAAGTGTCTGAGTGGCCACAACTCTAGTTATTCACGCTCAGTAGACCCTCTCATGCCCAGGTCCCCTGTGGGTCTGTCTTAACTTCTCCAATCTACGGCCAATTCCCTAAGGGTGAGAAGATCTTCTCTTAGACTCCGTGTCCTTTCACAATCTCCCCAGTGTGGATCAGATGCTAATTAAATTTTATTTTACTCCTGTTTCAGCCTTGCGATCCTCCATGCACTCTTCAGCTGTTCGTCTCAAGTGAAACGGGACCAAGTAGGTAAGGAAAAAGAGTAAATCACTCTCCTCTAACAGTCAAAGCTCTAGTCCTCCTAACAATAGCATCCACTATTGAAGGGGGCTTTGGTGTGTGCCACCTGCCATGCCGACAGCCACAGCCTCACTTCCTTCTCACATCAGCTCTGTGAAGGAAGAACTGGTATTGTGTCCACGTTGCAGATGAGAAAGTTGAGGCTTGATAGCTTACATGACTTGCCCAAGTTAATGAAGCTAATGTGTGGCAGTCCGAGACCAATATCTGGCTCTCTACCATCATGTTTGACAGTCCCCAGATATATCAGCCAGGGTCCTGTAGGAAATGAAGCACACTCAAATTGGGTAATCTGAGGAAACTGAATAAAGGAACACTGCACAGAAGTATGAGCAGGGTCTGGGCGAGTCCAAATGGAGAGCAGTGTACCCTTAGCTCATGCCAGCCGTGTGGACAGCACTCCTGGGCCCGAACCTGAGACAGGGGCTATGTGGAGAGGCTCCCCAGCAGGAGCTGTGGCCTTCAGTGGAGAGACACAGACACAGCTCAGCAAAAAGGGAATAAACACCCCCAACTGCTCACCTCCCTGTCTTTCCAGTCTCCAGCCAGTGTCGCATTGGTCAAATCCAGCTGGAAGCCAGAGCCCAAAGGTACCCACTGATATAACCCACCAACGTCAGCTTCTGGGCACAGAGGAGGGGAGAGAGTGGATGGGGTGGGTGGCAGCAAACAGAAGATCCCCAGAGCCCTAGCCAAGGTAGAGTTAGCAGATTCACCGGATGTGGCTACGAGACAAATGCATCCTGGGATCGTGTGGCACAAACTAAGAGATGGGGATTTTCCTCTTTTATTTCAAATTCAACCACGGCTGCATCAACCCTAGCTCAAAAGCAATCCTTTCTCCCCCCCCACCCCCATCACCTCCACCAACACAAAAAGAGAAACAAGAAAAGAGAATAGGCACAGAGGCAAGGCTGAGTGTGGAGTGGGGCCCTTACCTAGGCAGTGAGGCAGTATATTCCAGAATTCAGACCTCTCAGCTCAACCCCTACTTCCCCAGAGAGGACCCAGACCCACCATGGGTTTCCATATATAAGGAATCTAGAAATGCAGGCACTTTGAGAAGAAAGAACCTTGGAGGAGAGCACAAGGGCTCCCCAGAGAGTTTGGGTCTCCAGTCTTGATGCATTTACCAGGTGCCTACCGTATGCTCTGCACTGTGCCCATAAGAAGGGCCTGGGTTCGAGTCTGACCCAGATCCTGCCCACAGTCTGATAGGAAACTCAGACACATAAAACATAGGTTACGAAACAGTGTGGGAAATGCACTAGTGGAAATGTGTACATATACAACTCAACAATTAAAAATATTAAAAATGGACAAAGGATTTGAATATAAATTGCTCCAAAGAAGATACACAAGTGGCCAATAAACACATTAAAAAGCGATCGACATTAGTCATTACAGAAATGCAAATCCAGCCACAATGAGATATTGCTTCATACCACTAAGATGACTCTAATCAAAAAGACAGATAATAACAAGTAATGGAAAGGGTGTGGGGAAACTGGAATCCTCACACACTGCTGGGGGGCATGTAAAGTGGTACAGCCACTTTCAGCAGTTCCTCAAAAGGTTAAACACAGAGTTTTCATGTGACCCCGCAATGCCACTCCTAGGTATAGGCCCAAAAGCATTAAAGCATGTGTCCGCACAAAAATCTGTACACAAATGATCTTAGCAGCGGTATCCTGAATAGCCCCAAAATGGAAACAACCAATTGTCCATTAATTGACAAACTGAATAATAAAACATAGTATATTCATGCAATAGAATATTTTTCAGCGTAAAAATAAATGGAGTACATTCACTTCATAAAGGGAAAGCTATTTTGAGTAAAGCAGTAAAGCAGTTAGTTCTTTAAAAATGGAAGTTACAAAAAATAAGAAATGAAAGTTACAAATAAGTGAAAGTTCTAAAAAGAAACAAAACCCAAAACTTTACATTAAAAATGTATTTCTTTTTCATGATGGAAAAAATACAGGGATTGATATTTAAAATACCAATTTATTCAATTTATATGTTAACACTCATATCTACTCTTTGTATGGATTCTGGATTCTTTTTATTATACTTCCAGTTTTTAAAAAACACCCACATGGGTAAATAAGTGAGAGCACTAGGAATATCAGAGGATTATCTATAAAGATGCCTTTTAACTTGAACTTTTCATTTAAATCCTTCATTCTGATGGTAGTAAGTGAGATTGACAACTAAACTGAGAATTTGTTATTTCTCCTATTCCTTTGATAACCAGAGAGTTACAGTGGAAGTCATCCATCTTATCAGTCCCAGAAAATGCAGTCCCTCCAAAAAAGCTTTGACGTTTCCTTTTCCTGCCTTCTTCTATCATTTCCTGCCCATAAGTTCCAAGAAAAGGTGGATACAGAAACCTATGGAAAAACGTGGTGGTGAACTAATATTTACAAAAACAAGAGCTCTGTTCAAAATAGATTCTGTTCTCTTGAGATTATAAATATTTTCTGTGAATTCAGATTATAATACTTATTTACAATTTTACCAATCTTTACATACAGAAGAAAAGCTATATGGAAACTGATTGAATAATCACCTTAGTAGAAAAGGATTTAAAAGTGTAAAATGGGCCCAGTGCGGTGGTTCACGCCTGTAATCCCAGTACTTTGGGAGGCCAAGTCAGGCAGATCACTTGAGACCAGGAGTTCGAGACCAGCCTAGGCAACATAGTGAGACCCCCATCTCTACAAAAATACAAAAATTAGCTGGGCGAGGTTACGTAGTCCCAGCTACTCAAGAGGTTGAGATGGGAGGATTGCTTGAGCCCATGAGGTCAAGGTTGCAATGAGCTGTAATCCAGCCACTGCACTCCAGCCTGGGTAACAGAGTGAGACCCTGTTTAAAAAAAAAAAAAGTGTAAAATTTATTAAAATTAATATTTAACAAAAATAAGACTTGCCAAATAAATCTAGAGTAATTCTTTTTGAATAAGATGTTGTTTCTCTATGGTATAATAACTAGCTTACTTTTAGAAATAGCTTGGTCAAGTAATAAAATATATTATTATATAAAATTTAAAAATAGGATGAAGTATTGGTATATATTACAACACAAATGAACTTTGAAAACATTATGCCAAGTGAAAGAAGCCAGACACAAAAGGCCACCTATTGTATTATTCCATTTATATGAAATGTCCAAAATAGGCAAACCCATAGAGAGGGAAAGTAAATTAGTGGTTGCCAAGGGCTAAGGGCAGAGGAGAAAGGGGAGTATCTGCTGATGGGTATGGGTTTATTTTGAGAATGATAAAAATTTTCTGGAATTAGATAGTGGTGATGTGTATTAGTCCATTTTCACACTGCTATAAAGACGTACCCGAGACTGGGTAATTTATAAAGGAAAAAGGTGTAATTGACTTACAGTTCCACATGGCTTGGGAGGCCTCAGGAAACTTACAATCATGGTGGAAGGCGAAGGGGAAACAAGGACCTTCTTCACATGGTGGCAAGAAGGAGAAGGGATGAGCAAAGAGGGAAGAGCCCCTTATAAAACCATCAGATCTCATGAGAAGTCACTCACTATCATGAGAACGAACAGCCTGGGGGAAACTGCCTCCATGACCCAATCTCCTCCCACCAGGTCCCTCCCTCAATATGTGGGGATTATGGGGATTACAATTCCAGATAAGATTTGGGTGGGGACACAAAGTCTAACCATATCACCATGGTTGCACAATTTTGTGAACGTGCTAAAAACATTCAACTGTAATACTTCCCAAGGATGACTGTTGTGGTATGTAAATTATACCTCAATAAAAATAAAAAAAATTAGGTATAAAAAACAGTATGGAGGTAAGTAGCACACAGAGAGGGAAGCATATATAAAAAAAATATATTAAAATATATAATATATTACATATAATATATAATTGAATATATATTTATATAGAATATATGTAACAGTACAGAGGTCAGTAGCACACAGAGAGGGAAGCAGGTGTGGACAGTGTTGCCTCTCTGGGGAGGTTTCCTAGAGAGAAAGCACCACCTGAGCCTGGTTTTAAAGGGCCAACAGGAGTCAGAGACTGTGGGAAGGAAGGACTTTCTAATCAAAGGGAACAGCACATGCAAAGGCTGTGCAGAAGATGGGAAATACTGTGGTGTGCTCTGACAACCACAAGGCCTCTGGTTATTTGGGGCATAAATCTTAGTGCACAAACACAGAAGTTGTCTTTTGTGAGTAAAAATCATTTCTGACTCTGAGGCCTATTTCTCCAAGCTGCAGAAAACGTCACCCCATCATTCCTGGTAATATTGTAATCCCCTGCACATAGAGTCAGTGACCAGTCTCCACAGCCTGGCATGCACATGCTTTTGTGCCTGACTTTGACTCTTCTCTGCCTCTGTGCCAGAGACTTTGCTAAGACCAGAAACCCAGTGCTAATGATTCCAAATGCCTGCTGCACTCGGGAAGCCACTCCTCCCCAGACTCTTGCTGTCTCCACACACCCTGCAAGGAAGCAGGGCTGGGATCCGGCTGCTGGGCGGCCTCCCCATCTCCTCAGAGGAATTGCTTTCTGGTCTCAGAGCAGGAGATGCCCCCGAACTCACTCCCCACTGCTCCCACAGGGCGTTTTGCTCATTCCTTAAATCTCTGTTCATCTGTTCTGCAAACTCCCTAAATTGTCCTTGATCTGTGGGCAAACGAAGACCCAGCATAACTTTCAAATGACTCCTACTTGAATGAGAGAAAGAAAAATGAGCTAACATATAGAGGGAAAAAAAGAAAAACATCAATATTCCAAAAAGATCCAGCCTTATACGTGACCACAGCATCTGGTGCAATGGACTAAGTATGAGATCAAAGGCAACAGGACCAGGATCCCTCTGAAGAGCTCAGATTCAAGACCTTCAGTTTTGTGACCTCGATGATGGAGTTTTTATTAGCTGGTACAGTGGGCTCTGTCCTCCACAAGTTCCTGCCCCTGAGGCATTCAATCTTTCAGAGTGTGCAGTCCCCAGGGCCTCTACCCTCCTCCCCCTGCAACTGAAGTAGGACATGGAACTGGGCAGAGGTGATCAAAACTGAGGCCATGAGAGTAGAGGCAGGAGAGGGGGTCCAAACACATTATGGAGATAAGCTGGGGAAAGAGGTGGGAGCTCGGAAGCAGGAATGTTTGACCTCCGAAGTCCAAGAGGGACAGCCAGGAATGGCAGGTTAAAACAGAAGAGCAACAGACTGGTCTGGTGACCCTGCTCCTCATTGGAGTGGGTGGCAGGCACCATTGAAGGGGTCAGCAGTGGCAGAGACCAGGAGCTCTGAGCCTGAAGGACAGTCCAGGAGGCAGTAGGGGAGGAGTAGAGAGGAACTTCCTCAGGCTGAAGAGGGTCTAGAAAGGCTTCACCAAAGTAGGGTGAGGGCCCTGGGCCCCGAGGGGATTCTGATTCCCAAGCTGTTCCCACACCGTTGCCATGGGGGGTGGCAGGGGAGAGAACCAGGACACTGAGGTGAAAACAGTTGCTGGGTCAGCTGGCCTTGGTGGGTCACCAACTTTACTTTGTGGGGAGGATGTTTATTTAAGGAAAATCACTATGTTTATTCAAACCTTTGGGCTGCAGCCCCCAGGGGTGGAATTATCAGTGAAAGCTGGGCTATTAATCAATTGTGGGGCCTGGTGACAGACCTTCTTCCCTTCCGGAGAGTGGGAGGAACAGAGGAGAGAGGGAGGAAGGGAGAGAGGAGGCTGGCCCCAGCACTAGCCTGTGTGGGAATGACTGATCCCAGGAGCAGGAAGGTCACACAGGAAGTGGCCTTGAAGTGGCGCCGGAGGCAGGAGGGCAGTGGAGGGTGGCGTTTCCATGGCACAGCGGTCATGGGACAAAGTTGGACGGAAATCGCACTTGAAGATGCTCCCTGGCCAAGGCCAAGTTGCCTGGGGAGGAAGGACAAACTTCCTGGATGGACGCCAGGACGCTGAGCCCTGGGGAGGAGGGCAGGGGTGGAGGCCATGGTGTTGCTGGGGCCGTGGGGTCTCCCCAGGCCATGGGCCAGGACATCTGATAAAGCCTGAACAGAGCATGGCATCAGGAGTGCGTGCTGGATGGGGAAGCACAGAGGGATATGGAAGCCTGGGTGGGTGAAGGCTGTGGTGTCTGCCCACCCCACGGTGAGCCGGCCAGGCAGGGTGGGTAGGCCCCAGCAGCCATGCTTGGTGAGCAATGCACAGGCTCGAGGCTTGCAGGGCTGGGAGGGCAGCTGGTCCCGTGAGGGCATGGATGGAGGAGGGAGGTGCTCGGCGTGTGGGTAAATGAAGCCACAGACCCAGAGCATGGCTGGGGGAGGCCTCATGCCAGGGTCAGGCTGCTCTCACTGGGCATCTGGACCACTGTTTGGAGACAACCCCCAGCGTGAGCTCAAGGAGCGATGAGTGAAGGGTGCATGAGGAAACAAGTGGGTGAATGAGCGTTCTCTTCCAACGATGGCACCAGCAGCACCTATCTCATCGCAGTGTGGGTGAGAATGAAACCACAGGTAGAGCGCCAGGCCCAGGACACACTAAGTGCCCAGTCAGCGCCACTGCTGCTGTGATCAGAATTATTGTTATTACAGCTGGGCTTTCTTCCTACTTCACACACGCTGCTCACACCTGCGTCTTTTCCCTCCCTACACGCAGGCCCACGGAGCTGCCAGTTACGGGAACATCCAATGTACCGTCCTGAACTTGTGGGGCCTCAGGGCCCGTTTCCACCGCCTGCCCTGTGATCTTGAGCTACCTACAACACCTCTCTGAGTCTTGTTTTCCTCATTTGCAACTGAAGACAATAGTATCTAATACAATTAGGAGGATAAAATGAGTTAACTCATGTAAAGTGCTTAGCACAGAGTAAGTACTAAATGAAGATCACTACTGCAAGACTGGGTGGGTGGATAATTCATGCTTTTGCTCCAAGGTGAGGTTGCCCTGTCTGCCAATCTATCACAGCTAGGGAAGTGGGAGGCTTTCCCCTGTGGGATGTAGACTGGGGAAGGCCACCATCTCTCACTGAGCGTGGAGGCAGAGCTGCAGTGTTCAGGGTTGGCAAGGGAGGGAAGGTGAGACCTGCAGTCGCCCTTCCTTGTCCAGGTCTGCCCCTTCAATCCTTTCTCTCCTCCTTGGCAGACCCCTTATCTCCTCCACAAATGAGTCACTCTTGCCAGGGGACAAGCTCCCCGGGGCCACATCCTACCCCCATGAAGCTGTAGCATTATAAGAATACGAAAAGGCAGACCAGCCTAACCAACATGGAGAAGCCCCGTCTCTACTAAAAGTACAAAATTAGCCAGGCGTGGTGGCAGGTGCCTGTAATCCCAGCTACTCGGGAGGCTGAGGCAGGAGAATTGCTTGAACCCGGGAGGCGGAGGTTGCAGTGAGCCGAGATCACGCCATTGCACTCCAGTTGGGGCAACAAGAGTGAAACTCCGTCTCAAAAAAAAAAAAAAAAAAGCAACTTAAAAACCTATCTGGCCTCTTTGCTGTCTTAAAAAACATAAACATCATGAATGGTGCTAAGTATCTGGTCAGGTGTCCTTTGAGGGAAAAGAGCCCTGGAGACTGTGTCTTTTAAAGGAAGGGGCACTTTCAAGGAGACTTCATGGTGGCGACGGTGAGTTGGCAGGTGGTGGGAGGGAGGTGAGAGTGGAGGAAGAGGGGCTTCCTGGGGAAGGGACCCTGGGGGTGATTTCCCAGGAGGACTTTGCAGAGTGAAGCTACCCTAGGATTCAAGTCATGCCCTTCCCTACCCCCTTCATTACTGCCAGGAGAGTGGGCAAGGCCGTCCTGTGTCTTTGCTGCAGGACCTGTGTGTGGTCAACAGCATGGTTGGCCAGCTCGGTTCACTGGCTTCTCCTCCTCCTCCCCTTCCTTTACCCATGTCAACAGAACACCTTCTCCTGCCAGCTCTGGGAACCCAGATGGTCTGAACAGACCTAGTTTCAGGGGCTCACACGGGTGTTTCTTGTTTGTTACTACCTTGGACCCTCACCACCTCTCCATGGGTGGACCCTTCCTGGCCCAGGCCCACCTGTTTGCCCAGCTCCCCCAGCCCTGCCCTCACTGGCATCCCAGACTCCAGTGGATTGAACTATTGGAAGTTTCCACATGTTCTCACTCACCTTTGGGTCTCTGCGTGGGGTAGCCCCTCTGCCTAGAATGAATGCCTCCTGTCTCTGGTCTACTGACTGACTTCTCATCTCTCAAGACTCAGAAAAAATGTCACCGCCTCTGAGGGCTTTTTCTGTCCCCATGTAGCTTGGGCTTCCTCCTCTGTGCACCCTATTCCTATCTTGATTTCAGAACTCATCACTCTGATAATAGATGAGAAACCTATCTGAGATCAGATTCCCCCAAAACCAAGCCTGCATAAGGCTTCAGGTGCAGGCAGTCTATGTGGAAGGTGATCCTGGGAGCAGGGAATAGGGAAAGTGAGGTAAGAAACAAGGAAAAGCCCAGGAGGGGTGTGTTATCAAGGTGGATCTTGTGGAAAATAGGGGTTCAGGTCTCCTGGACACCCTTGAGAAATCAGAATGTGGCCACAGTCTTCTGCCTGGAGGAAGGCTCTTGGGCCCAGCTGGTTGGCCAGTTGTCCTGGAGAAGCAAACTTCTGGCCTAGACTTTCAGGTAGACATAGCAGGCCCTGCAGAGTGGAGAGAGCCCTGGGGCAGGAACTAGGCAGGCAAGATGGGGTGCTGTGAGGCTCGCCTGCCACTGTCCCAGCAACTGTGGCTGAGAGCAGTGGATCCAGGGGCTGTGAGTCGGGCACCACGGTCATCCCTACAGAATCCCTGGAAGGTGGGAGCCACAGTTCTACTTGTCTTCGTGTTCCTGGCAAGTGCTGGGAAAATGTTGAATGACCAGGAAACCAAGGGACAGTGAACCAGCAATATTTGGGGTTTCCAGCCAAGAACTCTATAGACTCCTGGATTTCTCTCCAGTTGGGTTTAGGGGATTTCCTCCCTATTACTAACCCCTGCGACCCACAGCTCCTTCTCACCTTAGTCTTCAGAATCTAGGTTCTATTGCATGAAGGGAAGCTCAAAGTAAGTCAATTCTAAGGTGCCTTTGTGTGTAGTGTTTCCTTCCCTCCCCCAATTTCCTACTGAGACAAAACTCTCCTTTCCTTAAAGTGTCTTCATGGCTAAAGAAGGATAGTTGGAGAGCAAAGGGCTTTCTCAACTAAGGAGTCAAAGAGCAGATGTCCAATGAGCTGATGAAAAACTCTTCTGTCCATTGCAATAGACTTTTCTGTCTATTACTCTCCAGGGATCAGACACAAGAGCAGGTGGACTGAGACTCTGGGGAGTATGCTCGGCTCAGAAACCATGAGCACAGACTCCAGGGTCCCCAGCCAGCATTTCTGCTCCAGCACAAGATGCGTACTGCTCATACCTCCCTCCCTGCCTCCTTTACTTTATATGGTCAACCATGTATCTGACTATGGAAGAAAAAGAATCAGTCTCTCCTTAAAGGAATTTCAGACTCTGGGAGCTGATGTGGGTAACGTTTCAAGGTGGAGTGGGGGTTGATGGGCCACTCGCAAATCCTTTGAACTCACATCACCATAGGGCCTATTAGTCATCATAACAATGACAGCTAGAATTTATTGGGTCTTTACTGTGTGCCAGGAATCAAGCTAGGGCCTATAGGTAATATCTCATTAAATCCTCACAAAACTCTGTTGGGATGAGAGGTTGTAACCCAAGAAAAGCTCAAAGTAAATCAATTCTAAGGTGACTTTCTGTGTAGTGTTTCCTTCCTTCCCCCAATTTCCTACTCAGACAAAATTCTCCCTTCCTTAAAGTGTCTTCATGGCTAAATAAGGATAGTTGGGGAGCAAAGGGCTTTCTCAATTAAAGACTCAAAGAGTAGATGTTCAGTGAGCTGATGAAAAACTCTTCTGTTCATTGCAATTACCAAAGACTTCTAAGGTCATTTTCTCCTCCCTCAAGCTGAAGACCTAGGGGTCTGGAGGTCTGGTCCTAGTTACAGCTCTGTTGCTGACTGATTATGTGAATGTGGGTTTAGTTCCTAAACTCTATGCATGGGGTATTATCCTCAGATGAGAAAATAGAGGCTCAAAGAAGCACAGTAACTCACCCAAGGTCACATGTCTGGCATGTAGTGGAGCCAAGATTCAAACCCAGAACAGGAATATAAGAAGACTAGGTGTCCAGGTAGCAGAAACTAATGAAAAGATTCTTCAGGGTATGAGCATTGTAAATGAATCAGCCCTGTCAGGCCTCTGAGCCCAAGCAAAGCCATCATATCCCCTGTGACCAGCACGTATACATCCAGATGGCCTGAAGCAACTGAAGATCCACAAAAGAAGTGAAAATAGCCTTAACTGATGACACTCCACCTTTGTGGTTTGTTCCTGCCCCACCCTAACTGATAGGATACATTCTCCCCCACCCCTGAGAATGTACTTTGGATGCCTATCCCAAACCTGTAAGAACTAATGATAATCCCACCACCCTTTGCTGACCCCTTTTTCGGACTCAGTCTGCCTACACCCAGGTGAAATAAACAGCCTTGTTGCTCACACAAAGCCTATTGGTGGTCTCTTCACATGGACGCATGGGACAAACTCCAGCGGATGTTTTTGAAACTTTTACTTTTTTGTATTTTTAAAATTGTAGTAAAAGTATCATTTTAACTGTCAGGCCTCTGAGCCCAAGCTAAGCCATCATATCCCGTGACCTGCGCGTATACATCCAGATGGCCTGAAGCAACTGAAGAGCCAAAAAGAAGTGAAAATAGCCTTAACTGATGACATTCCACCATTGTGATTTATTGCTGCCTCAACCTAACTGATCAATGTACTTTGTAATCTCCCTGAGCCTTAAGAAGGTTCTTTGTACTTCTCCCCACCCTTGAGAATGTACTTTGTGAGATCTACCCGCTGCCCGCAAAACATTGCTTCTAACTCCACCGCCTACCCCAAACCTGTAAGAACTAATGATAATCCACCACCCTTTGCTGACTCTCTTTTTGGACTCAGCCCGCCTGCACCCAGGTCAAATAAACAGCCACGTTGCTCACACAAAGCCTCTTTGGTGGTGCTTCACACGGACACACGTGAGACATTTGGTGCCGAAGACCTGGGTCAGTGGGACTCCTTTGGGAGACCAGTCCCGTGTCCTCACCCTCACTCTATGAAGAGATCCACCTATGACCTCGGGTCCTCGGACCAACTAGCCCAAGGAACATCTCATTGATTTTAAATCAGGTAAGTAGCCACTTCTTACTCTCTTCTCCAACCTCTCTCACTATCCTTCAACCTCTTTCTCCTTTCAATCTTGCCACCACCCTTCAATCTCTCCCTTCTCTTAATTTCAATTCCTTTCATTTTCTGGTAGAGACAAAGGAGACACATTTTATCCAGGGACTCAAAACTCCAGTACCGCCGGGCGCGGTGGCTCAAGCCTGTAATCCCAGCACTTTGGGAGGCTGAGACGGGCAGATCACAAGGTCAGGAGATCGAGACCATCCTGGCTAACACGGTGAAACTCCGTCTCTACTAAAAAATACAAAAAACTAGCCGGGCGAGGTGGCGGGCGCCTGTGGTCCCGGCTACTCCAGAGGCTGAGGCAGGAGAATGGCATAAACCCGGGAGGCGGAGCTTGCAGTGAGCTGAGATCCGGCCACTGCACTCCAGCCTGGGTGACAGAGCTAGACTCAGTCTCAAAAAAAAAAAAAAAAAACTCCAGTACCTGTCATGGACTCGGGAAGAAAGCTTTCCCTTGGTATTTAATCATTGCAGGGATGCCTGCCTGATTATTCACCCACCTCCCATTGGTGTCTGATCTTCTCGGGACGCCTGCCTTGGTCATTCTGTTTGTGGCAAGTCAATTGCGGGCACGCCTGCTTTGGCTGCTCATCCACATTGCAGCCCAGGGCTGCTCACCCCACCCCTTCTCTCTGTGTCTCTACCCATTTTCCACTTTCCTGAGGGCAAGCACCTCCCAACCCGTTTCCACTTTCCTGAGGGGCAAGCACCTCCCATCCTGTTTCCACTTTCCTGGGGGGCAAGCACCTCCCACCGCTTCTTCACTTTCCTGGGGGCAAGCACCCCCCATCCCTTCTCTCCGTTTCTCTACCCTTCTCTTTAAACTTGCCTCCTTCACTATGGGCAACCTTCCACCCGCCATTCCTCCTTCTTCTCCCTTAACCTGTGTTCTCAAGAACTTAAAACCTCTTCAACTCTCGCCTGACCTAAAACTTGAACGCCTTATTTTCTTCTGCAATACCGCTTGGCCCCAATACAAACTCAAC